TAGAAAGCAGTAAGTTCAACTCGCTATTCAAAGCATTGTAGAGACTAATAGCAAGAAAATATAATTAAAGGTAACATACATTCAAATTGCTCACTGCAATTTTTCTTCTTTGGTTATTTGTTTGTTTTGCTTTGTCTAATTTAGAAATTTATGTAAATCAACACGTTAAACATTAAAATTAACTGAAAACAGAGTTAGTTTCAGTTTTAGAAGTAAAAATCGATTATACGACGTTATCGTTTATACGACGTTTTTCGGTGGTCCCTTCGCCGTCGTATAAACGATGCTCCACTGTATATTCAATTCCTAACAATAAAAGAGATATTCTTATTGATAAGTTTTTTCCTTTTCTTGAAATTCTTGCATTTTTTCATGTGTTATTTGACTACGAAAGGGGCTTTCAAATGTGTTAACTACAATGGTATAGAATTTATTCTAGTTAATTATTATCGGATTTTCCTTCTGATTACTTGAGAGAGGCCTATAATAACTTTTTTAGACACTCTTTCTGATTCAGATATGGAAGATATAATATAAAGATTTTTTTAAATTATGATTTTCTTTTTTAACAAAAACCACTTAGAAGAATCAAAGTAATTTAGATACACTCACTTATATCATTTTCAGCAATGGTAATTAAATAAAACATTCCATTCTTAGAAAGAAGTTTGGGCACAAGAGGAAAAACCCTATCCATCACTTCTCTACCATTTATTCCTCCAGAAGTAGCACAAAAAATATTATCCTTTCCAATCTGAAATAATACATACAATGAAATTAACTTTAAAACTTAAAAATTATTACTATCTGATCAACAGACTGAAAAAAAAAATATTGATTTAGAATAAAAAAAAATTACATAAGAAAAAAAATTTCGTTTTTTCAAATCTTGAAAATTAGTAGATTATAATTTAACACAGAAAATTGAAATGAGTAACAAATTCTAATTTTAAATTTTATTGTGATGAAGAAAAAACAAAAGTAAAGAAAGAATAAGCGCTTGTTTTCTAATTGTTTACAGAGAAGACATTCTATCTTTGATTTAAAAAAAATTTTCCAAATGAAATATTATAAGAAATACAATCTAAACTATAAGTTCAATTCGCTAACCTCAATAATTGATGAATACTTTTTTTGTGGATATTGTCAATGTAAAAAAGAATAGAATTTGATTAATTTTATAATATAACAAATTTAAAAAAAAAATATTTTTACTTTTGGAAAATAATTATAAAAATTTTGCAAATAAAAAGTTTAACAGTTATGAAACATAATTATTAACAGCTTTGTTATAGAAATTAATAAAAACAAGAGCAACATTACTTAAATCTTACTTCATCACTAGGAGTCACTACATATGGAGGGTTAAAAATTAGCAGATCTATAGAATGTTCCAAGCGATCTTCGAAAACTGAAACCTAAAACACACAATAATTTAGCCATAATCAATCTATATTTATTTATATACACTATAATCAGAGATACAGTTAACAAAATAAATTTTTAGTAAATTTTCTGAACACCCAATTAGTTTAAACAAAAATATTTTGCTCAATTTTATTAATTATTAAGAGTATGGTTTTAATAAAGAACAATTTGAAATCTAGTAACTTTCTATTATTTAAAATATTATGGTGTTATTAATGAAACAAATTAATTAACTAAATTAATTAATTGTAAACCATTTTACCTTTCTGGCTTTCAAAGTTATGTGCATTATTGAAAAATTTATTTGACAAAAATATATATGGTGTAAAAAGTCATAATTTTTTAAAAAGAAAATCTGACTTATTTATAAAAATCAGAAACCTTTTATTTAAAACAGAATATTTTTTTTATAGAATTCTAATATTTTTTCAAATTAAAATTGATCCTTTTTACTTTTGTTCTTGAAATTGAATCACTGAATAAAATATCAAAAATTGAAAAACTTTTATGAGATTATTTTAAGAAACATTATTTATATATCTAAGTGTAACTTAAAATTGTATAATTAATAAATATAAAATGTATGTCTTTACTTACATAATGTATGTTATATCTGTATTTAAAATACTAAAATAAATATATTAATATGTAATAGAATAAAATACATCAAAGTTTAAAATACATGAAAAAGAAAGAAGATGAATGAAGAGTTATTAAAAAATAAAAGTTAATGCTTTAGATAAATTGAAAACAAAATCTTTTTTATGGAAAAAACACACCAGGTTTGTGTGGATTTAACAATGCAAAAAATATTGTAAACCAATTAATTATTTTTCAGTTATTTTAGCGTAAAAAGAAAAAGAAATTTTTTGTAGGAAAAAAATTAAAACACGCTATTTAAATTTTTTTAGCAAGCTATTTAATAAAAATTATACAATAAAATAATCTCAAATTACAATACAAAGTAAAACCCGTATCTATGGAATTCTAGATTTTTAGTCTTACATTGTTTTAATAAAAATAAAAAGCTTAAAAAAGTTTTTTTGGCTTAAAACTTTATATCTTCCAAAAAAAAAAAAAAAAATCTTATACATGTTTTTGAAAAGTTAATTTAAATAACTTTCTAATCATGTATAATTATTTGTATCATACATATATATATAGATTGTTTTGCTCTTTAATTTAGACAAGAAATATCTTCATCAACATTTGTTTTTAAAATATTCTCTTGAAAATATTTCTATATTCTAAAAATTAGAAATATTCTAGAAATATTTTAATGTTCTGAACTAGAATTTCGACTTTTGAGAATTTTAGCCCATTAAAACAAAATGCTTGAAAAAAAAAATTTCAAAAAAATAATTTCTAGAACTTGTGATACAAATTTAGAATCTTTCTTACAAAAGGACTATGGCCAACAATGATTTGACATAACAATTTGAGTGTTTGTAAAATTCATATAATGTATAGCTTCTTAAAATTTTTCTCATTTACAAGGTACAGTTAAACTTCTAGGAAAAACCACCTCTATGTAGGGATCTTCTCGATTTACCACCATTTTTGAGAGGTATGGAATTTTTACAATAGACTTTGTGTTGAAGAAAATCTTTAAGAGAGACCATCAAAACCTCTGCACCAAATGCAGAAAAGATCATATAAGGAAACATGAAAAAGTATCAAAACAAAAAATATTAACAAAACTAATTAGTATATTAAAATGCATCCAAAATGTTTGTGTTAAATATTTGTTAAAATAATTCAGAGAGTTCTTTTCGGCGATCTTAGAGAGATCTACAACCTCATGTTGCAGTCAAAGTACACCAAAGACGTTGTTATCAATGATTTATTTTCAGGATTGAAAGTCAGATTAGAAAAAAAAAACTATTTTTGAAAAAAACTAAGTATCTCAAACAAACAAACCACATCTTATTTTTTAAAGCATCACTAATTTTCATGATATAAAATTAAATACAAACTTAAACAAAAAAACATAATTGTTTATTTATTTAAAATAGTTCTGTCATTCATAGTTGGTGAATTTGTTTTTACACACAATTATATCCGTAGGGATCATTTTTATTGACACTAAATTTTATTCATCTATCCCGTTTTTATGACACTAACATTATCATTTCCGCATCAAGGAAATGATACTGTCTGAAATTAAAATAGTCTGCGAAAAATCATGTAACTTTGATATAATTTTGAAGTCAATGGAGGTAACCCCTAAGAACAATCAACCTCCATTTCAAGGCGATTTTACTGTGGACCAGAGAATGATCGCTCCCAACAGGTTTCATTGCATATAGCTTATTAATTATTATTTTACAAGGATACATATGCGAAATGCTTAATTATTAATAAAAACTGTAAAATATACTCACTAAATCTGAGACTACGGCATTTCCTACAATTCCATTGATTTCACTAACAGCTTTTGTAGCAGAGGCAGCCAAAGGGTTAATATCAATGCTCCTATTTATAGAAATAAAATTTAAGTCTTAAAAGACATTTACAAAAATTCAATTTGCACAAGAATAATTTTACTGCATATTACAGTTGCATCTATAAATTATAGACAAAATCAGGGTTTCAAATTTTCATTGATTTGAAAAACAAACTCAAATCTGTCAAATTGTATTGCATTCACAGATTCCAATAAATAAATCAGTTTAATTTTATCAGCAACTCAAATTACTGATTTAATTCATAACTTGGATTACAATAACTGCCACCTAACACACAATAAACTTTTATCTAATGGGTTTTATAGTTAAGGTTCAATAAATAGGCAAATGAATCTTTAATAACAATAATTAAAATCTTAAATTTAAACTGCATAAATAAAAGTTTCCTCTTTTATTTGTTTCAATTAAAATTTTTGAATTTATTAAAAGAAAAACCAATAATCACCTGCTCTCCAAGGTTTTGACAAAATTCAAAACACCTATTGAAAATTCTTAAAAGCTTATTCAGTAAATGGATGGCACTATATATATATATACAGTGAAACCTCCTGTTATGGACACTCCTGCAAAACGGACGCCTCTCAATACGAACATATTTTTAATTCCCCGGAAACCTTCAATGAATAAACCATTACGTACATTCTCCGCAAAGCGGACACTCCTGTAACCGGACGCGGACAGTCATTATGGTCCTGAAACGTTGTTTTTTATCTCTACAAACCGGACACTACTTTTTCTAAATAAATTGCAAGCTAAAAAAATTCAACTTTTCACCATTTTTAAAGCATGTAAATAAAGCTTTTTGCCTTATCCTTAACTAAATATATTGTTAAGGTATTTCACCATCGAAAAATCAATTCTCCTGTCACCTTGCCTTATCTTTGTAAAGAAAGGAGAGAAAATGGTACTGCACTCCTGAAATAATTCTGACATCGGCATCTTTTGATCTTTTCATCTGGACCACACAGGTTATGAGACCCCTCAAGTTGAAATGACTTCTCTCAATGCTTCTTCCCCATTGAAAATTTCTTTAATTTTCTTATCAATTTGAAGACTGTATTTAACACAACTGGGGTAAAAAAA